CGGCCGCCTCGGGGTCCGGCGGTTTCTCTGACCGAGTTTTGCGTTACATCAGGTTGCAGCGATGAGCATCACCTCGACCGATGCGATTTATCCGAAACCTAGAAAGTTTTCTTTCCTCTTCTGGCTGATATGTAACCTTTGCTCTGCTGGAAATAGTTCTGCTGGGGTGGTGCGGGCAACAAACTGACAAGTCACGGCGGCGATGAAAAAACCAAGTGGTATGTCAATGTAGGATCCCATCCGTGTTGTACAACCCTGGCCCTTTAAGGAAAATCTCATTTGCAGTGCTACTCCAATTCCTGCCCCCCCCCGCCCCCCCCTTCTACTGCATAATTTAATTATGAAGATTGTGTCATGGAACTTAGCTTTCAGACGCATATGGGGAATGAATGTGCACCAGATTTTAGAGTAAGAAGCCATTTCATGTTGTATAGATTAATGAATTAACACATGGGACAAACACTCTTAAGAGGCTGATAAGCATCTCTGGAACTCTGCCACAGAACCGTACCTTTTCCTGAGAAGTTTGTGCAATACATTATTTTTTTTAATGCAAGTGGCAAAATAATTTTTTGTTCAAATTGTAAAACAAATCTCTGAAGAGAAGATTCTTCACAGTTAAGAGTAAAGTGCTTCAGAGTTTTGGTTACTTGATGCGATTCTTCTGCAGAGAATCCCTTCCTACCTGACTTGCGCAAGGCAGGTGATTTGAGGGCGGAATAAATGGACTGATCAGACAGTGCAGAATAGATCTGGAGAAGTTTTTAGTGGGTCACTGGGATGCAGAGAAAATGCAGCAATTTTCTTATTGGAGAGGAGTTTAAGCGGAGTGCGTGGAGGAGCAGTGCAGTGTGACAATCCTATTACACTGACTTAGAATCAAAGCTGATGTTGCAAACCTGTCTAATGTAACTGCAGAGGGATGCGGTGCAGAGTTATACAAGAATTACAACCAGATTCAGAGTTGTTAATCTTGAAAATACTGTCTTAAAATAGTTTCTTCTGATGTCTGGAATTCATTCAAATTGAATTTTTAATTAAAAAAAATTAGGCAAGGAACATGAGTTTTGTGGAGGGGGAAAAAAGTTATTATTAATGTCACCAATGAAACTTTTCAGTTTATAGATTTTTTTTTTTTTCCTATTTTTTTCTCTAATCTGTGGGGGGGTTATATTAAAAAAATCCTTGGCAAATATAATTGTAACAAATTTGGAGCAAAGGTCTACTACTGTGACTTTTTTTTCTTTTTTTTTTTTTTTTTTTTTTTTAAGTTTCATGAAGTCCAGCATCTGCGTTTATACTGAGTAGCACTTGAAGGAATATGCCTAGGAAAATGTGTAAGAAAGTTCTTGAGTGAATGCTAAAAGACCATACTACTGTCTTGAAACCTCACCAGATGACCTGGCTAGTAGGAGGAAAAGGCACTGATGGCTTAGAGCATCCTTCTGAGGTTGTTTAGTACAGCAACAATTGATTGAAAAAGGAGCATCAGCAATTGAATAAACAGGATGTTAAACAATAGTGGCAATGCCTTCCACTTTAAAATAACAGTGTAGGCCGAATTTCAATATGGATACTGAATTCAAGGGTTGTCAGTGGAATTTTCTTGTGGAATAGTTTGTGTTTATGCTTGCAAGTATTAGCAGAACCGGCTAGCATGGATACTTTTTTTTATTCAAGCCTTTTGAAGTCACTTCTGGAGAAAACCGAATTGAAAAGGGAATAAAATTCTCCATGGTAATAAAACACACAAGTGCTTACGCACAGTTATTCATTTCAAACGCTTCAGACTTTTACCAGCTTGCAAAAGATCAGAAAACATAAAATTGGGGAGAATACGGGGTAGTTGTGTCACTTGCTGTGCAGTTTCACCTGAAGTTGGTTTGAATTAAAGGTCTTTGAACATTTGCTGACTGGCCACGTGCGTTTGGCTAGTCGATAACTCACCTTCCTCACGTTTTTACATTCTTCAGACAACTTTCTGTCTTCAACAAAGTTCAAGCGATGTGGCTGTTAGAGGGCTGCCTTAAGATACTTGTTCTATTCCCTCTATTATTTTAATACCAAATGCACGACTCAAATGTTAGTTATTTTAAGCGAAATTGAATTATTTCCCTCTGCGCTCTGGATTGTGACTATACTGCATTATGTATTCAGAGATGGGGAGGAAAATCATTTAATGAAATTAGGTTATATCTGAACAATGTTGCACTCACTTAAATTGACTTTGAGACTGGTTTACGTTGGCATAGCCTCCAAAGCCCGGTTCCTTCAGGTGAAACTAGTGTCCACCCAACTTCAGGGTGTAAGGAAATCCCTGGTGAAATAAACCAAGTCTATTTTCACTAAAAATGTGTTGAGTTATCTTCTTGAGCACTCTAAATATGCTGATTTTTGGTAATTAACACTTCTTGCTGCTTTTTTTTTTTTCCAATGTAGATGCAAACTTCATATAGCTACTAGAAAAAGAGCTTAAGTTACCCAAGCAAATTGTGAATGTTGGTTGCTCTGGCTGATACGCATAAAGATACTGCTGGGCTATCTGGGTTAAAGGATTTCAGGTAGCCTGTAGTGTCATGAAAAAATATTGGTTTTGTGCTTAATTTAAAAAAGAAAAAAAAAGAAGGCATGTACGCTTTCACACCTGTGTATGTTGTGTTCCTTAAATCAAAACTTGTGTCCGTTAATAGGTCACAGAGGCAGGGATGGTAGGAAAGCCGTGCCCATGCTGTTCACAGACCTGTAGAAAGGCTTCTCCTTGACAGGCGAGGGCGTGAAATGGTCACTCTTGGCTTCCCCCCGTTGCGTAAAGTCGGACACAAGTACAGTGTGTCTCCACAGTGCAGCAATACTGTAATACTGCGGGGTGTAATTTGATGCTCAAATCACAGCTGTCTGTCAAGAAAGACCATGTAATGAGTTTGCATAAACTTCTGATGTGCGTGTTTTCAAAAAACTGCAAAGAGCATGATAGTCACGGGGTCAGTGGTGTTACCTAGCGTGCAGCGCAGTGTCATGTAACAAGTCTTTCATCTCGGTATAACGTCTACCCCAAATTTTGTGGTATTTACCCATAAGTGGTGTCGCTTCCTTGAAGGAGAGCGAGCTTTTTAAAAGTAAGGAAATAAAATAATCCAAACAAAAATGAGTGTCCAGTTGTGCTGCATTTGTGTCCCTGTTCAACTGTATGCAGCTGCTGTTAGGTTGATAAAACATTGCAGCAACGCCCTCAGGTTGCCAACAAGGTTAAAGGGGTGGGGGGGAAGATAGCAGCTTAACAGTGAGTATGCAGGGGTTTTTGTTTTGGTTACACTAAATATTAACTGATTTAATATTTCTGAGCAAACTTGGTAATACGGAGATACTCTTGGTATGGGAATTGCTAGTTTCAGGTGGGACTAAATCCAGCTAATCCTAGAAATGGTAAATCTCTAGTTGACGTTTATTGATTGATACCAAGTGCTTAATCTCGCATATAATTGACTAGTTGAAGGATGGTGGGGTATTTAGTAATGCAGTATTTCTTAAAACTTAATCCAGAGGATGCAAAGTTCATGCTCAAATCAGAATAAAGGTCAGATTGCTGGGCTTTGGAATATTTCAGGCCTATTGTTAGTGTGTAGTAACTATTTTCAGTATGTTTAATGTGGCAAGTTAGATGCTTATTGTACTTATAGAAGCTTTGGAGTTTTGGAGACTGTTTGGAGTACAGTCTTACTCTTTTCTGAGTGGAAATAAAAGTAGTTTGCAGTCAGATACTTGCAATTGATTTTTTTTCTATAAAGGGAGATTCTTTTGAACAGTTATGTTTTTGCTTGTCTCAAATCAGTACTCGATAATGTTACAGTCTTCACAAAGCAGCTGAAGGGGGGAAGGATGCACCTTGGGAGACAGCGTGGAAGGAATTACAGGTGCCTTACTGATCTGTCCGGTTGTAGCTGAAGACACCGCTCGAGATCATTGTAACTTCCCTGTTTTCTGGGCCAACTGTTAGCGCTCTCTTGTAGAAATACGTTCCATGACAACTGATAGAACACAAGCAAAACAAGGTGCAAGGTATATGTCTTGTATAATCTACCTTTATTTACAGGCCTTTACCTGATGCGTCCTTTATTAGTTTGGGTGATAGAAATGACAATTCCTTAACAAATGTAATCATTGTAATGTTGAAAAGTAGTAATGAATCCCTGCTGCCTGCCTTTTCACAGAACGGTAATTTGGTGCATGAGCTGTGCTTTAACCCATCTGCCTTCCCACTTTGGCTCTTTGATGGGGACAGGGATGGATTTTCCTCCCAAGATTTCTTTCCAGCAAGGTCATACAACAGGAGGTCAGGGGGACTGCTTTTGGAAAACTATTATTTAGGTCTGCTTCTAAAGCATGGCAGCTCTGAAGCTGTTCCTCGCTGCTGCTGGTAGGAAGTGGTAGGTACCTGTTTCTTGTCTGGCTGCAGTCAGTGGGGTGAGGGTGGTGGTTATGGTCTGGGTTTTTTGTTGTTTTGGTTTGGGTTTTTGTTTTGTTTTACTGCTCTTCATAGAGTGTTCTGGCTGGTAGGTTGCTTTTTTTTTTTTTTTTTTTTTTTTTTTTTAAAAATTCAGTTCTTGTCTTCTCGAGTGGCTGTCCTCTGACTATTTCTGCCATTTGCTTCTGATTCCACTCAGCTCTCCTAGGGGTGCTGTCTTGATACAATTCTTGGTGACTGCTTTCTGAAAAAAACCCTTAATGTTTATAATGTTTGTTGCTGATACCTTTCTTCATCTTCAAATGCAGGCACATAAACAGTTTTGTGGCTGTAGAGTTTCAGAAACTGCGTCTAATATTAACTTAATTTTCCACATTTTATCTTTTTCAGTCAGAAGAGGTAGAAACTTTATAGAATGTATAACCTAAAATTAAGCTGGTTGGGCCACTAAAACAGTGACTGTAGGTTATTGAAGTGTTGTATTTATGATTATTTTCTTTGCAAAGAAAGCGTGTATTCTTATGCATGTTCTTAGGAGCCTTCACCAAAACCACTAGATTCTGTGTTCCCCTGTGGTAACTGGTGGGGAGGAGAGAGAAGGGGGGAGTATTTTTTCTGAAAGCTTTTTTTTGTTGTTGTTACTATAAGTTGGCTTGGTATTAGAAACAATATTTTCAACAGAGGACAGCCTTCGCCTGAAAAGTTCCAATATAAATAACTTTTTTTCTTCACAAAGAAGTGCTGCTTTTTGTTCTA